TTTTGTAGCATAATAGTTTTGTGTAGAACTACTGCTTTCCTCTTATCAATTCATGAAAGTCAAATTTTCTGTCATTTACAGATTACAGACACACACACTGAAACTAATTCAAAATTTTGACTGAACTAGAATTTGAAGAATATCATGTTTGGAGGGAATGTTCTCATGCTTTGAGCGGAATTTATATTACTCATGGTTGGGAAAAATCTTAATATTTACAAATAAATGAAAAAAAAAAAAAATCGTCTCCACACGCTTTCCTCAGTACACCTTGGTATTTTGAAGGTGAGAGTAATGAAAGGCCTGAATGTACTCGTTTTTGCTGATGGAAAATGGTGAAGGTTATACGTGATGATCAAGCTGCTTCACTGGTTAAGCCAGCTATTTCTTTCAGTGGCCTCCACATGAACTTTCTCCTGCACAAGGAGGAAACTCTTGTTGGCATGGAAGGATAATATGTGACAGGATTCAACTGAAACGATATGGAAATGCGAAGATTGTATAATTTAATCCTCCAACACATTTTTCCCCCCAAAAAAAAAAGATAAAGGGGAAAACCAATTTTGTGGGATAAGTAATAAAAAAAGATTGCATAGAAAAGGAAAAGAAACGGAAGAATGTCCATTTACCAGTTTCCACATTCAGCAATGACCCTCACTTTAGGCCGAAGTGTAGGCAGTAGAGCAAGGAACTGTAATTCTGCCTTGGAAAGAACCTATAGAACCCGACAAAAAAAATCAGATGAAATAAAAGATAAAGTGGGAAAATTTCTAAAATTAAAAGTGACTTCCATGTTCATAGTTTTTAAAAAATAATGTTTTAATGGATGAAAATCATCATTGTTTTTAAAATTTATAGCAAACCACATTTTTAATTTTCCTCGCGCCATGATCAGTGTGCCTCATTTCTTAAATTCAATGCAATGCAAATTAGGTACAACTAAATTATTAACTAGTTAAGTAATAATTATAAAAACATTACAGACAAGAAAAAAAAAACCTTCCTGCTTGATACAAATGGATGCTAAGCTAATATATTTGTCTAGGAAACACACTAATCCTTAGTTTAATTATTGAAAAATAGAAACTTTTCACGTAAATTTGGATGACAAACCATAAGATTAGTAGAACAAGCCAATGACAAAAAAACATGAGCACAAGTTAGAAGTAAATTATTGTGAAAACATAACATAGTTAATTCATCTTGTGTTAATTGAATTCATTCAAAAATATATTTAACAAATAAATAGGGCAGAAGTGAGGCTGTAATGCCAACCTTGGCTTCAATGATCCACACAACAAGTCCTTTGGCATCAGGTGGAAGTGCTTCTAATCTGTAATCAACCTCAGGTGGAAAATACCACCTTGCTATTGGCTGCTTTCCAACATGAGCCTAAAACATTCATAAAAAAGGGGTAAACTTGAGCAACACCCATCATACACAGCAGTTAATGCTTAATGTAACCCTGAATAACAACCTATCACCAAAATAGTCACGTGACAAGAAAAGATTTGTTAGTGGAAATATTATATTCTAAGTGCATGAGTTAGACCGGCAGACACTAATGACTTAGTTTACAAGAGGAATTAAATGCATCATCTCTTAGAGAGGAGCTTTCATGTCATTAGACTACAAGGCCACTAACATAGTATCAATATTTTGTTAAGGTGTCTGGTGACCTTAAATTACCATGTGACTCTTAAATTACTTCTTGGAGAAAAGCCTTCATATCATTAAACTATAAGGCTACTGACACAGTGTCAATACTTTGTTAAGGTGTCTGGTAACCTTAAATTACTATTTGACCCTTAAATTATTCCTCGGAAAGCAGCTTTTATGTTATTAGACTACAAGGCCATTGACATAGTGTCAATATTTTAGTAAGGTGTCTGGTAACCTCAAATTACCATGTGCCTCTTAAATTACCTCTCGCAGAAGAGCTTTTATGTCATTAGACTATAAAGCCTCTCATGGTGTTAATGTATTGCTAAGGTGTCTTGCAGCCTTAAGTTAGCATGTGACTCTGATCATGTCATACATTTGATATGAGTATTAAACAAGAAGAAATGAAGAAGGAACTCACAGGGCAAACAGGATGAATCTTGGTGAGGGTAGCTTCCGGGTCACCAAGGCCACGAGCAGAGAGGTCAAGGAAATAGTAGCCCTGATATCTCAAACGAGTAAAGTACCTTCCTTCATACCCACCTTCATGAGGAGAATATATGGCCAGAGCTTTGTGTTCTTCCACATCAGATAGCCATTTCCCAAGATCGAGCCTCAGCAGGTCGCCTCCTATGAAATCTCCGATCCCTATCCCACCACCGTCACTATTACTACTGCACCTGATCACTACCCCACCACTCGTCTTCGCCGTCTTCGTCTTCCCAACCCCAACGTTATACTTTTGCTGCTGCTGAACAAATTGCAGCTTCTTTGGGTTCAGTGAGGTCGCTCCTCCATAGCGCAGCAAGCTTGCACTGGCCGACATTTTCGATGCCTGAATTGAAGTTGAGAGAGAGAGAGAGAGAGAGAGAGAGAGAGTAGCGTTATTAGAGAATGAGGTTCATGTTCTGTTTTCTGAGTTCATGGCAGAACAGAGAGATACGTGTGTATGGTGGAGAAATGAGATAAAGGGATGGCTGTGACTTGGCTTTTCTTTTTTGTCTTGTGTTGTAGCTTCCGCATGCATATGCGGTGTGGACTTGTTTTTCTTACCCCCAAAAAATATTTTAATTTTTTTGGGCAAAAAAAAACAATATTTTAATTTAATATTTATGAATTAAATAATCTTTCATTATATGTTCTTATATAAATTACATGTACTTCATATATGAACTATATAAAGCTAGTTAAGTATAAAAATTCAATAAAATGTTGATAAAATTTTCTTTACAAAATTTATATGTTTCTTCCACCTAATGTTTATTATTTAATACCCATTATACATGGGTTTAATTTTTTTTAATAAATAATGTGTTGATGTGAAGGCCAATATTTATATAACTAGAAAATCTGGTTAAAAATCTCTGTTTAAAAATTTAACTAACTAAAAAAATCTAAATTTAAACGAGTACAATTATAATCCGTAAGTATAACATATCTTCTGCTGTGTGTAAATAACTTTGATATTAATGATTGTTGCAAATTATTAATAATATTTGTACATAATAGAAGATATATTGCACTTATGAATCATAGTTACATGTGCTCAAATTTAGATCCTTTTAAATAATTAAATTTTTAAATAGGATTCTTTTTACCAAATTTTCCATAACTAAATACATTTTTTCTTAACTTTCTGAGCCATTTTTTGATTCTAATAAATTCTTATAAATTAATTCCACAAAATTTTTTATAGTTATAAAACCCCCAAGTGCTGAGATTGTTTTGATAAAAACAGTTAATTGGTAAGTCCTTAGAGCTTGACATGATTTTTCATGAGGTAACTGTAGTGGATTTTCATATTGGATTCTTGTAGTTTTCTCAATTGGCATTCGTCCATATGCTCATCATTTAAATTGGTAGGGAAGACGTTGTTGTTAGTAGTTCACGATCCAACTTCTATTTGACGTCCATCTGAATTATTTGTTATATAGATTTAAATGGAATCAAAATAAGGCCAAAATGCACATAACTCCCCTCAACTCTAGGTAAGTTGCATAAGACCCCCCCTCAACTTTAAAGGTTTAAATTCCACACCCTCAACTTTCATATGTTGACCATGAGCCCTTTACTGTTAAAATGGCCGTTAAATCTAATGGAGTGAGTGCCATGCTAGTTTATTAGAAATTATGTGGCAAATGACATGTAATTTTGATTATCTTATTTATTTATTTTGGGTTAAAACTCAGAATTATAATAAAGGGCACTTTGGTAATTTAACCTATAATAATCCCTACCTTGAGGTTCCCTCTTGTTTTCTCAGCATCTCGTAATTCTGCAACTCGCGAGTCCTCTCCCTTCCCAACCCTTGATTCATCGTCTAATCATCTTTATCATTCCGAAAATCACCTTCATCACCTTCTTTCTTCTAGAACTTCTTTTATAATTTTGAACTTATTTGTTTAATGATTGTGTTATTACCTCTTTTGGTCTTCCAAGTCCACCTTCTTGTCGGCACCGTTTCCTTCAATTTTCTGATCTTCTTACTCGTTCCAAAAATTATCATTATGCTTCCTATCTCCATCACATTATTCAGTTAAATGTGGAACCTTTATTTCAACAAGTAATATGCGAGTTACTAGTACGCACTTTTTTATGGAGGAAGAAGAAACCGAGAGAGAGAGAGAGATGATATGCTCAAATTTGAAGAAAACTGAAATGCACTACTCCTTTGGAAATATATTTTTGACTGATTAAACTAGTCATGTGCACTGTTAACACTTTTATATTTAGTGTTTGCATAACTTAAATGAATGAATAACCTTAGAGTTGTTGCTGATGTCTAATGCGCACTTACCTATCACTTATTGATTTTGCTGATGTTTAACCATGGACATATGGGATATTAGTTGCTAGCATCAATTGCTTGGTATATTTGGTTGCCTACAAAATCTAATTCCAATGTTATTATATCAGTTGGTAGTCTCAATTGATTGATATATTTATTTTATATAATTATATGATTATCAGACTCAAGATAGTCAGATATAGAGATGAGAAAATGATATTTTATGAGATCACGTCTTCTGGTTATAAATAAAATTAGTGCAAAACAATAAGGAACTATGAGTTATATTCTCCCACAACTGAAAACAAGAGTCAAAATACTAGTTCATGGGGTTGAGGACCACAATGGAGACTCCATTCTCATCAAGAATGGAAGTGAAATTATTTAAGGTCCTGATAGAGGTGTGGATGTTGACAATGCAAAATGCATCATCTACTTAAACATGCGGCATGATTATGTTTTGTTACTCCACGCCTCAATAATTTTTGACACATAAAATCAGGTTTAAGACATATTTAATTTCTTAGAATAAACAAGAGAAAGTAAAGAAATAAATTATAGCAACCAACTAAAACAAATACAAACTGATCACATTAAACAAGAATAACCTTTAGTTTTAAGTGTTTAACATAGACTAAAGAGAGTAGATGGATATTAATTAATTTTCAACGTCTACCACTTCTTTTGTCCTTTGCTAAAAAGAAAAAGAAAAACGTAACATTCCCGATCAAATTTCAAACAATAGCTGGAACCATAAGTGGAACTTCTCTTATCCTGCAAATTTTGAATGAAAATATATTAATTCAAATGCAGAATATGAGCTAAAAGAATTAATGATATCAAAATTTGAAGTTACGCAGACACTACCATCCAAAACAACGTACTTAGCTTCATTCATTTATCTACTGAGACTTGAGAAGGTAGGGGTTGGCTGCCTTGCATGGATGACAAGTAAATATTCATTACTCCAAATATATCATCACAGCACATATTAAAGTTAATAAAACAAATAAAAAAGTAACAAGTACAAAAACAAACCGTAGGAGTTTATGGCAAGGATGAGCTAGAGTCTTGAGTATTAGGATGTTGGCTATCCTGCATAAAGAACAAAAAAAGAAAAATTATTCTATGTAGTATAAGTATGAATTAAATTAAATCATATGATAATTAAAGAAAATACAATTATCTGTTCATTTTGGCTTGATGCAACGTTCTTCTTCTTCTTGTACATTTTTTTGTTGGGATTAAGAGGAGCCTTACAACCCCGTGCATTATAACTCATTTTTCCACAATTACCACACTTTGTGGTAGCCCCTTTTTTACTTACTTTTGATGGGTTTTGTTGCTCATCTGGAGCTTTCTTTCTTGCTTTTCTTGGTCTTCCAGGTGCCCTATTGTACTTTGGTGGCTGTAAGGGAACCACTGTTGATTGTGGCTAATGTTCTTCACTTGGCACTGCATCGATTACTAAAACATAAGCTCTCATAAATGAATCTTTACTATAATAAGTAAAAACATAATCTTTAGATACCCCTCTAATTCGATAAATTGCAGCCACAGCATGTCCACAAGGGATGCCAATCAAATCCCAAGCCTTACATGTACAAGTCATCATCTTAAGATCTACCACCTCCCTTTTCCATGGACTCTCTATCTCAAACCTCCCATCACCAGTCATATAACATATATAATTCTTTGAGTTGTTCTTTGTTCTTTGAAGTTTATCCATGATTCTAGGACATATTGCATTACGAGATCTCTCCATGCCCTCTCTTTTTGCAACCATTCTCTTCATTAACACCCTTCTAATTATTTCACACATTGTAATGATTGGCTTGTCTCTTGCAACCAATATAAAAGAGTTGAATGTCTCTGCAATATTGTTTTGTACAATGTCACATTTAGCATTTATTGAGAATGCATGCTTACTCCAAAGCCTTGGATCATACTTATCTAACCAATTAGCAGCATTAGTGTCAAGCTCCTTTAGTCATTTCATATGATAGTTGAATTCCTGTTTAGTTGTTGCCCTACATGCATTCTAGAGCTCATCTTTCAAATTCTTTCCCTTATACTTGAACTTGAAATTGGCATATAAATGCCTAACACAAAACCTATGCTCACATTCCATCACCTTAAGCACCTCTTGCAACCCCTACAAATTAATTAAAAAAATCTATAAATATTGAATAGCCAATCAATTATTATTAGTGAAAAATAGAAATACATTAAATATATCTATAAAAAGTATACATTTTGCATATCTGACATCACGACTCACCCTTTGTCTTGGCATGAGCCAATGTCCTCAAATAGCAAGGTCATAAACCAGTTCCAACTATCCTTACACTCAGATTCCACAATGGCATATGCTATAGGATACATGTTCTCATTTGCATCTTTTCCAACTGTAGATACTACCTTTCAAGAAACAACCATCTACACATATGATTGGCCTACATGCCGTTATAAACCCATGTTTACATGCACCAAGACACATATGATCGCTTAAATATAGACCCTTGTGCCTTGACCCTCATTGTACTTCCTGGGTTAAATTTCATTATTGCTCCACAATATGCATATATTTGGGAAAGTTGTTCAGCATCACAACCCTCAAGCACTTCTAATGCCATTCTTTTTGCTCAATATGCTTGAAATTTTGAAATCTCAACATTATGATCCATTCGCACTTGATTTGAAAATGCTATTGCGCTCCAATTTGGTTGGTCTCTAATGTGGTCAATGTAACTATTTGACAACCAACTTGCACTCACCCATTTATTTTCTCTTTCCCAACCGCAATTGTGCTCCTTTTGGTGGAATGACTTAATCTGAAATGCATCTCCAGTTTGAGTCTTTGATGCATGTATAATCCATCCGCAATTGTGCTTACACTTCACCCTAATTCTTGATGCTTCCTTTTTTATATACTTGAACTCAATGCCATTCTCAATGGCATATTGCTTTAATGCTTGCCTATAAACTTTGAAGTTTGCAAACTTCATACCAACTCGAAGATTGATTGGTCTTTTAAAATCTGTCTTCTCATTAAACTCACTGTATGATTGTCTTTCTATTTGTTGGCCTTCATTATCTGATCCATTTGGACTTGCCAGCTCCTCACTATCACCATAATCAGACTGTACTTGCCCATTCCAATCACATCCATATTCATTGACTTCCATAGGTGTTGGGGTGACGTTATCAATATTTGGTCCACTTTGTGCATTTTCAGTCCTTGTACCTCTACTTGTGGATTCCCCTAATTGATTATGACACAAGCATTGATTAACTTCTACCTCTATTCCTCCTTCAAGATTTTCAAAAAATAAATCTGTCTGCTCATTATCACTATCAAAAAATTCACATCCATTCAAATCAATTTGGGTGTTTAACTCCTCCTCTTCTACTCTTAGTCCCTCCTCAAATATTGGATCCTTTTGTCTATTAACCATATTCTTTTTCATAGTTGTTCTTAACATCCCAATAACCTAACATAAATAAAAACATATATATTAAAGGAATATTTCATATATATCAAATAAAGATGAAAAAGATAATTTAATATAATGAAAAAATGAAAAATTGGGAATAAATTTCCTCTTGTGAGCATGAATGGCTGGTTCCGTATGAAAATTTTCCTTGTTTCTTTCTTCCTTTACCACTACTATCACATGCTTAATTTGATCTAATACATGTCATTTGTGTAGCATATTTACTATTTGATCTAATTGTATTTGTAACATTCTAGACGCACTCATCTTGTTGGAAAGTTTTAGATTCGTGTACTCATGTTATCCAAGTGTCACTCACGCACACACGCTTGCTCACATAAACTGAAAATCATGCAAATTCTTCAGTGAGTTTAATCAAATATAGATAAGATATAGGGCATGAGTTCTAAGGCAATCAAGGGGGAGGAAAAATATTTTAAGGGGATTTATTTAATTATTTAATTGTATAACAGGTAAGATAGATTATTACTTTTCGAAACACAACATCATAGTAAAAAATGATTGCAGACAATCCATTACCTAAAATTTAAGAGACAAGCACAACCACATAACACTATCCCTTCTTTATAGTTTCATTGAAAAGAAAAATAGCCCAACAGGAATGAGAAAATGAGAACACAGAAACAATCAAAGCATTGATGAAGGAAAAAATTACAAAGCTTGACTATAGCACAAAGAACCTCCAAAACGCATCCCAAATAATACCCAAATATAAGGAAGTACTTAGCAACGCTTCCGTTCAATGAATTTGCCTTGAAGATTGTTCTTTACAAAAGCGCTGTAGAGAATATGAGGTTGGGTTTTCCGACAAACATTGTTTTGTAGGGGATTGATAGGAAAATATTCATATTTGCGCAATTGTCGTGAAGATTATGGATTTGTGCAAAAATCCCGGGATTATATAGATAATGAGGGAGCTATGCTGGAATGATGCCGTTTAAGCTGGATACTAAAGCTCCCCACGTTTTTTTTCTATCGTCTTCCTCCATAGAAAAAGTACGTACTGGTAACTCCTATACATCACTTTCACACAAGACGGCTGATGTTTAATGCATCCTTGGATATCACTTGTTAAAATAAAGGTTCTAAATTTAAATGAGTAATATGATGGAGATAGGAAGCATAATGATGATTTTTGAAATGAGTAAGAAGATCAGAAAATTGAAGGAAGCGATGCTGACAAGGAGGTGGACTTGGAAGACCAAAAGAGATGATAACACAATCATTAAACAAGCAAGTTCAAAATTATAAAAAGAAGTTCCAGAAGAAAGAAGGTGATGAAGATAATTTTTGAAACGATGAAGATGATTAGACAATGAATCAAATGTTGGGAAGAGAGAGGACTTGCGAGTTGCAGAAGTACAAGATGCTAAGAAAACAAGACAATGAGGGAACCTCAAGCTAGGGATTATTATAGGTTAAATTACCAAAATACCCTTTGTTATAATTCTGAGTTTTGACCCAAAATAAATAAATAAGATAATCAAAATTACATGTCATTTGTCACATAATTTCTAATAAACTAGCATGGCACTCATTCCGTTAGATTTAACGGCCATTTTAACGGTAAGGGGCTCATGGTCAAGTTATGAAAGTTGAGGGTGTGAAATTTAAACTTTTAAAGTTGAGGGGGTCTTATGCAACTCAGTTAAAGTTGAAGGGCGTTATGTGCGTTTTGGCCTCAAAATAAACTAAATTACAAATTATATATAAATGCAAGAAGATAATTTCAAGGATAATATTTTTCATTATGTTGATAATTAATAAATCTTAGTCCATAATCAATTTTTTTTTAATTTTGTATTTTGTGACTATGTCGCTTTAGCATCGATAACAAATATAATTAGTAAATTATAAGTATAGAGAATAATATTTATAGTAAAAAAATTACATGTACTCAATAAAAAAACTATAAGTTTTAAAGGTAGAAAATAATAACTTCTCACTTACATTTAATATACGAGCTAATTGAAAGTTCTAAATATAATATCTTTATATACTTTGTCTCTTAAATTTATAATGTCTTTTAAAAAATATTTTTATTAATTATGAAGTATTTCCAACCAAATATAATTATAATATATATAAATTTTATTATAAATAACTAATTTAATTAATTTTGAAAATATTTTTAAATCACTTATTTAGTTTTTATATTAAGAATTTTATTTTGCAATTCTGGAGATTTGACTGTTGAGATTGAACCTGGCGCAGTAGCAAGGGAAAAGGGGTACTACCATTGACTTGCACGGCGGCGCATTGAATCGCTGCCCTTTGTGCTGGGTTTGATTTAATGCCATTTAGTCTCCTAATAATCTCCACGATGCCAACGTGGCCTCACCTCGGGGTGTTCTAAAGTCTGAACATCATACAGATTCTCTGCCTTTCTGTCTTTTCTCCTTGTACATATATATGTATATGTGTCCCTCATACTTCCTTCTTTTGTTGCAAGCCACAATCTTACAATTGATCACCTGCTTACCCGGAGAAGAAAGTTTTGATTAGGGTTTTTCTCGTCCCAGTCTGCTTCTTATTTGTGGTTTGGGTTCTTCTATTTTCGCGCAAGGAAAAAGTTTGACAGCTTTGAATTTAAAGGAATGCTTGCTGCTGCTTCTTTTACTTCCAAACGCATTCGAGCTTCGGAGTTTCTTCAACGTGATGGTGTCACGCGGTGCTACTGCCATAAGTTATTTTGAAAATTCTGCTTTTGTTGTTTTGAGCAGGAACTATGGGATTGGCAATCGAGTTCGATCGATTGTTAGTCTCTCTGGCATCAGCACATTCCCCAGTCGTAATAGGATTAGTAGAGATTGCTTTAGGGTCAATCCGATTGCTCCCAGAAGATCTACAAGTTTACTTCTTAGTATAAAGGGGTTTCTCTCTGATTCATCAAATTCTAATTCCTATTCTTCACTATATGGCAGAGTAACCAGACCATGCTTTCCACAACCTGTTAGTTCACCTGCCCTTCCTGTTCTTTAACAAACTCTTGTTCTTGGTTCAATGGTTTTGGTGTTGACGGTGTTTTGCCCCTTCGATACAGGGTTCAACGGTAGACGGACGAGCATTATTCTCAACTTCAACTAAAACTGATGATGGAACGTCCTCAAAGAAGACCGAGACCCAGAACCAAAAAACTACAACCACGATTGCTAAAACTTCTTCAGGGGAACGAGTTGCTGACATTAAAATTCTCCGTACACTTGCGAGTTACTTGTGGATGAAGGATAATCTTGAATTCCGATTCCGGGTTATTGCTGCTTTGGGTTTTCTTGTTGGTGCTAAGGTTAGTAGCTGTGTCACTTGCTGACAAGCTGTTAACATGGTAATGCTAGTCATTTTGATTTGTTTTTGGCTGCTCAGTCTAATGGATCAAGTCTCTACTGTCTTTCAGGTTCTGAATGTTCAGGTCCCTTTCTTATTCAAGCTTGCAGTTGATTGGTTGACGACTGCTACAGGCAATGCTGGTGATCTTGCTTCTTTTACAGCTGCAAATTCAACTCTGTTAGCTATTTTCGCAACTCCAGCATCTGTTTTAATCGGATATGGAATTGCTCGTTCAGGAGCTTCTGCTTTCAATGGTAATTGAATGACATTATTTCTGTCGCACTTATGTACTCCTTGAACACGATACTCCTATATGCACCCAAAATTTGTCATTTTTTTTTTTTTCCTCCTGACATGTGGGACTTCATTGCTTACCATCTCTCGTTCTCTCTCATCATTGAAAGAGGCTTTCTACAAACTCTTTCTGGTCTTACTTGTAATTCACAGGTACCTTTCAAAGGACATGGCATGCGTCTCCTATATTTACAAAGAAGATTTCCATTGCACTCATAATACTGGACTAACTTTTGAAAACCTTCCTGTCCATCTACTCCATACTTTTCTGGGAAAAGAGATATTTTTTTTTTTTTTTCATGATTCAATAATATTTTCTCATGTTTGGTGCAACTTCTTGTGGCAGAACTTCGTACTGCTGTATTCTCTAAGGTAGCATTGCGAACAATTCGATTAGTATCTAGAAAGGTATGGTGCTGTTGTGATTTAAGTGTTATAGAACATTTTTCTCTTTTGTATGAGCATAGAGAAAATCATATTTTAGATGAGCTTTTTCTTATATACAGTTCCAGTTTGTGTTTGTGTGTTGAAAATCATATTTCAAGTTGTATCTCTTTTTTTGCTCAATTTATGTTATCTTACCTTGCAGGTGTTCTCTCATTTGCATGAGCTTGACCTACGCTATCACCTAAGGTAGTGCATCTACCCTGCTGAGAATAGTATGTATTACATCAAATTTTATTTTTAATGAATCAAATTAGGTGTTCACATTTCATCTGGTTTTAGTTTTATGTTGAATCCACATTTTAGGTTTTTTTCAAGATATCAGCTCAACTTGAAAAGTCCTTTTTAAAAAAAAAAAAAAAGGAAAGGCATTTTCTTTTTATTTATTTATTCTCTATGGCTATGATTGATACATGGGGAGTTTGGGGCTATGCTGGGAAGAGGTGAACGGCAAGGGAAGGTTGGGACGTCGGAGGATAAAGGTTAAGGCAAATGATTTACTCCTGCTGGTGCTAATGATTATTTTTTTTCTTTTTGTTTTTTCTTTAAAGTTGAAGGATAGACGATAAAATTTAATTCTTGGACTTTTGATGTTCTATATAACATGCAAAAGATTTAGTTCTGAGAACTTAGCAAAGTGAATTTCTGGGGTTTATATTTTGTTTATCCCTTCACATAAGAGCGCTTACCTGACACCAGATATTACGGGGACAACCCAATTTACTACATACTCTCCTCTGCTAATTTCACATTTGGGTATAAGATGTTGATAAATTCTAGGATTGAATTATTTTCAGAAATATCTTTTTTCCTTGCTCCTGCATGACCATTATGATTTGAATGCTTTCATTGATATGTTTCTTTGGTTCTAACCTAGACATTATTTTTCAGCCGAGAAACTGGAGCATTAAATAGAATAATTGATCGTGGGAGTCGTGCAATAAATTTTATACTCTCATCTATGGTGTTCAATGTAGTACCCACTGTATTAGAGGTATGTGTCAACTATTCCCCTGTTCCTGAGTTAACTTATGCTGTCCTCAATCTATGTTATTTAAATAAATATAATATTTTGGAGGAACTGGACCTCTTACCTGTGAATCACTATTGTCTGTTCTTTTTTTTTTTTTTAAATCTTAATTGCTCTTTAAGTATTATTTTGTTCATCCCTACTCTTGCTTCTTTTTCCCTGACCAACTTCTACAGATTTAATATGTATCCGTCCAGATATCTATGGTATCAGGTATACTGGCTTACAAATTTGGAGCACCTTTTGCATGGATCACATCCTTATCGGTGGCTGCTTATGTTATTTTTACACTGACTGTGACACAGGTATTGTGTCTTGAACTGAGCATCTTATGTTTGCATTATTTTGAGGTGTGGGATAATTAGTAGTCTCTTTCATTTATTATCTGCCTTTTCATATGTAAGATAAGTGAAACTCTGCTTGATATATTTTCATGTATTTATTTTTGTTTTTGCTAATGCTGTGAGTCATTGATAATTTTCCTCTCAATTTTCCCCTTACACCCGGGGTTGAAAAAAGAAAACAGAAATCAACTTGGTTTTCACGTCAGAATCTTTAAGTTTCCATTCTTTATTTTTACTGGGATGGTCACTCGCTTTAGTATTCTCCCTTGATCATGCTGTACTAATTTGGCACCTAAGCTTAAGCTTCATGTCTTCTCCAGTGGAGGACTAAATTCAGGAAGGTCATGAATAAAGCTGATAATGATGCAAGTACCAGGGCAGTTGATTCACTTATTAATTATGAGGTGAGCATGTTAATTGCTAGTGCAAATGGTTCGAATTATTACTACTGTTTCTCTTTGTGCCAATGTGATTTGGATTTTTTTTTTTTTTTTATGTTTTTCAGACTGTCAAGTATTTCAATAATGAAGATTTTGAAGTTGAAAAATATGACGAGTACCTAAAGAGTAAGTTAATTATTCTGATCTTTCTGGTCAAAATCCATCAGGCAGAAAGACGCCTCTATATAAATTCTAGTCTATAATTTTTGGGGGATCTCTTATAATCATAATTCAATATTCTTAGTATCTCAAGAATTATATATTTTCCTTCTGTATTTGATTTCATCTGTTCTAGAATATACGTTTCTGGCATAAGAAATACTAATACATGTTAATTTGGAAAACAATATGAAACCAATTTGTCCAGTTTATTCTCTTTGTATGCCCAATCATTGAAATCTTGCTGTGAATCTTGACTTTCAAATGGAAGTACGTAGGGTATGTTGTTTATGTAAAACATCAATTTGCAGTTTTGGTTTATGAAAATGGGAGTTGAATGTATGATCTTATTATAAATTCAGATGGCTTCTTTAATTTCCAATTTGTAATCCTTGCTTTTTGTGCTGCTGTTACTGATAATCTTGTAATTCAGGGTATGAAGATGCTGCTCTGAAAACACAACGCAGTCTTGCTTCTCTGAACTTCGGCCAAAATGTTATATTTAGTACTGCACTTTCTACGGCAATGGTGTTGTCTTCTCATGGGATTATGAGTGGCCAGATGACTGTTGGTGATTTGGTAATTAATTCAATTCATTTGGATTGCTCTACAATAGATTAGGGATCACATAACTTGTTTATAATTTAATTTCTAAATACAGGTGATGGTGAATGGGCTCCTCTTCCAACTTTCTCTTCCGCTTAACTTCCTTGGCAGTGTTTATCGTGAGACTATACAGAGTTTAGTTGACATGAAATCAATGTTTCAGTTACTCGAGGTATGTTCCTGATTGAGCTTCATTAAAATTATCTGAGCAGTTTACTTTTATGCATTGTTAGTAAACATAGGTTGATTCAGGTTACCTCAATGCACCCTTGTGTTTCAAGGTGAGAGGCTCAACCGTTAACTTTTGTTCAGGATCTGGGCAAGTGCAATTTTTGCATTTTTACGTGGATAAATATGTTGTTTCTTCCCATTTTTGGTTCACATGGTTTTTCCATCATTTCACTGTTTGAGGTGCTATGCTTTTGTTCCTTCTGCTTGTGAAAGTACTACAGTATTGGGGATTCTTCCATTGGAGGAACATCAACAAAATATGTCCTCAGTGTCTATTTCCTTCATTAATTTTGGGAACTTATGTGGTTCTTGCGATGAAATCATATTTCTCAGCAATTCTCTCTGCCTGCCTGCTCATGTGATACTGAATATTTTTCTTTTTCTAAAATTCTTACTCTAGGAAAGAGCTGATGTTAGGGATAAAGACAATGCAAAGCCGCTGGAATTATATGGAGGGAGCATAGAGTTTGAAAATGTACATTTCAGGTAGTTGATTGTTTCTTTATTGCCTGATGCAAAGAGATTGCTATAGCTGACTTGTGGCTACTGTATTTGGTGGTGCCACTGTTCTAGAGGGGAAATACTTTTTCCTTGCTATTCAACATCAGTGTATTTCTGGTCCAAAAGAAGGGGGAAAAAAAAAATCAGCGTAGACAAAAGGAAAAAGAGAATACAAAGAAAAAAGTATATTTTAGCCTGCAGCTATCTTGTCATCTGGATGTGGCACATCTTTGCCTTGTTTGCTCAAATGGGGCGGTTAATTAAGCCTGGATTTTGTGCATATATTCTTTAAATTTACATATTAAAATTGTGATATAGCTAATACATATTAATAAATTTTAAATATTTAATTACTAATTCCATATTTCTTAAGATGTTTGAGAAGTCCTTTTTGATTAAAATTATATTAAATAAAACTACCATGACTAAAATTTAAAAGTACTTACTATTAAACTTTTGGGGTCCTCAAACTATATTAAGAATCAAATGGTAGAGAAGCAATTTTGTATGAGAATCTTGATGCCTAAGAGAAATTCTACTAGATGATAGAGTATGATAAGGAGCAGGGATTGAAAATTACCAAGAAAATGGCTAATGTTTCACTTATATTTGGTTTTCTTTAGATTTCCTTGTTCTGACCTTTTCTTTCCTCAACTGCTTTCTATTTTCATTTTTTTCCCTTATCCGTCTAAGGTGAACTATGATGTTTCATAGGAAAGAATCATTTAAAAAAAACAAAAATCAAAACCAGTAGACTCTTAAATTGGTGCAAGTTTGACTTGTTCAACCAATTCAATCAGATTTTTGAGTGGCTGATTTTATGTATTAATCAAGCCAGTTCATTGGTCAGACTTGCGAATTCAGTATGGTTTCCTTAACACCAGTTGTAAATAATGCATAACACTGCTTCGGATCTTCTATGAATTAGCGTTGGCAAATCTGTTACAATGCTAACTTGTTGATAGATATCATTTATAATTAACATCAGTTTGATGATTATTGATGTTTTTGTCCCCACAGTTACCTTGCAGAGAGAAAATACTCGATGGAATATCTCTTATTGTACCAGCCGGAAAAAGTGTGGCAATTGTTGGAACTAGTGGAAGTGGTAAGGTTCAGCATGAAGGATTACCGGAATGTGCCAGATTTCTTCATTCTCTTCAATTGTTTTGCTTTCTGAGATTTACCTTTCTTTTTTTAGTTGGAGAAACTTTACTCTAGTTATTTTAATTCTTGTATCTTATTGTACAATTTGGTGAAATATTTACGGACATATGCTTTGAGGCCCTTGGGTATGGTCTTTGTGATTTATCGAGTAGTGGCTGCACGAGGCCCCATTTTTAAGGTGCTTCATTTTTGTTTCTGTGTACTCATTTTTCACTTGTACATTTATCATGTAATCCTTGTGTCCAAAATATCTTGATTGTTGATTGGGTACTTCACTGTTAGAAAGCAATGAAAGTGAAACGATAAGCTTAGCTGGCAGGAAAAATTATATACTGAAAATAATAATATATTAAGTTAATGATGAAGCAGAACTATACCAATCCATTTATTCTTGGAGAGGTGGATCACTGGTTTTTAATTTCTTTGAAGATATGGTTTATTGCCAATGACAATTGAGATGAATTGTTTGAGATTTTTATGCTGTTAAAGTGGGGATCGCTTTTTCCATCCCTTCTGTGGATCATTTGAATTCTTAGTAAGATGAAAAATTAAGCAGTAGAAGCCTTTCCAATTTCAAAAATTGTGTAAGGATGGAATAGATGTTGACTTTTTTCTAGGTATGCACTTTTTGGTTTGTAGGCAATTTCATGTCTTAGAGTCAACAGGAGCAAGAGTGTTGTGGTCCAGATGATGTTTTCCCGAGAACTGGTGGGGTTTTAAGTAAGGCAAGGACTTTTCCTGTGAAGTATACTAGGCTATGCCTTGCATGATTGTATCTTATCATCAGTCTCTATGCTTGTGCTTTTGCTTGTTATGGTTGCATCATTAGTTTGGTGTTCACTCAATGTAAATGGAGATTTTTAATCTGCTCTTGAGCTTTTGGGCAAGGAGGGGAAAATTTTCTAGAGAAATATGATGTGTTAGTATCATGCATTCAGTGGGAAATTAGTCAAATTCTTTTAACGGAATTTTACGCCATTCATTATTTGTGATTTCACCTTATATTCAACATGTGTCTGATATTTAATATGGTGTGTGCTTGACAGGTAAATCAACCATTCTTAGATTGCTCTTCAGGTTTTTTGACCCTAATTCTGGAAGTGTAAGAAATGAACTCAAATCTGATCTTAAGTGAATTTAAGCTATATGTGTATTTGATATTCATAGTTAGCAATCTGCATACAAATTCTGACATGTGCCATTATTAAGCACAAGAGCTATATGGCATCAAAGCCATGTGTTTACAAACTTTAAGAAATATAAGTGACAAGTGATCTGATTACTTGCTCATCCATGAAGCAATGAAGATAGCTACTGTTTTTGATTCTTTGTTTTCCTTTATTACACAAGGATCTGTGGCAAAACTATCCACAAATAGCATATCAAGGTTACAATTCAATCATCCAGGGCATGGAGTGTATAAAGCATTCAAGCAAGTTCTTTACTTTAAGTTGAATGCGGATGTTGCACCTATCTATTGTACCTAACTTTCTATAGTCAGATTGAGCTCTTGTGAATGAATGAGATAGAGATATGCTAATGGCTTTCTTGGCCTAATTTAATTTTACTTTGGAGGAAATTCAATTATGTTACTGATCAAAATACTAGTTAGTGCTAGTTACGTAAAAATTTGAAAGTGATTATTCTTTACATTACTAGACTGGGTATTACTTTTCTCCCAATTTCTCATGCCCTATTCGTGCTCTACAGATAAATATAGATGGTCAAAACATCCAGGATGTAACCCTTGATAGTCTTCGGAGGTCTATTGGGGTTGTTCCGCAAGATACTGTAAGTTCAATAAATCATTTGTCTCCTTTCAATCTGTGTTACTTTGTTGCCCACCTGATATCTTGGATGCTTTAAAAAACTTGAGTGATTGTGTGCAGGTACTTTTCAATGATACAATATTCCACAACATCCATTATGGTCGACTTTCAGCCACTAAAGAGGAAGTAATCTATGTTTCTCCTTAATTTTCCCTCTATTCACATCTTGAATCTGCAAATTTCAGCTGTGGTATGTCTAGTAGCTCACTTAGATTAAAACATTCTGCATACAGGTCTATAAAGCTGCTCAACAAGCAGCGATTCATGACACTATCATGAATTTTCCTGAAAAATATTCAACTGTTGTGGGAGAGCGAGGGCTCAAGGTGACACCATTTCCTGATTACTGCATCTAGTATATCTATTTTAATCTATTTGGGAGTTTATGGTGCCTTGTGATGAAAATAATGGGCGCTTAATACAAAGATAATGGGCCAGTAAACAATTTTAAATTCATAAATGACTGTTATTCAAGACGAGGAGTAACATCTGTGGTAAAGAACCACCCAAAGGTATAACTAATAGCCAGTTATTAATAGTCACTTCCAAGACCATTTGATTGAGCTTTGCTATAAAAATATATAAAAACAGGCAATTGGAAGATATATTTATAGGCTCTGTAAAATGCGGTGGAGAACAAACAATTAAGTGCTTGCTTGACTGTGTATTAAACAACTTGAAGGAGCTTTTGAGCGTGCAAGATCACTTTTTAGTGTATAAATGATGTTTTTTCAGTAAATAAAATTGCTTTTGTGCCACAGCTGCACATCAGAAGTGACGCTTGTGGTTCAGCCAAAAAAGAGCGGAGAAAGAATGGATTATTGTGACAGAAAATTTTTTATAACTAGACCAATAGATACTAAAGCATAATTTAGAACATCTGGGGCAAAATTAAGTTGGAGGAATTAACAACTTTCTTTGGAAAGAAATAAATCCTGCCTCGAACTTAATATTTTCTGTCACGAGCCAAGGCAACACGAGGCAGGATTTGATTTATGTTGATCAAGTGGAAGTGTTGATACACATAAATAATATGGGTTTAAAATTGCATTCTAAAAGGGATATATTTCGTCTATGTTGGCTATGTATTAAACTGTTCTTGGATGGCTTTCTTGCACAGTTAAGTGGTGGTGAAAAGCAACGTGTTGCCTTGGCTCGTGCGTTTTTGAAAGCACCTCCAATTCTGTGAGTATTCTGATTATTTCATTGAGACATTTAATACTTTCTGTATTTAGTCATGCGTTGTTAAGCTTGATGGTTGAATTGAACTTATGGATCTCATATAGACTAGAATGAACTTCAGAGACTCAGCAAATGACAAAAATAAATCAATCATGATTAGAAAATCAATTGAAGTCATGGATTTAAGGGGGAATAAATCAAAAATAATGATCAAGCAATTGAGTACACAAATCAGTTTTATCAGGGAAGGACAGAATAATCCTTTCCTGTGATGAGTATGAAATGCGTTTTGATATTCAAAATTATTCAAAAAAAAAAAAAAATTTGTCGTCTTCAGATTTCATTGCTAGATCAATATCTATGGTACACTTGAAAGTAGCATAAAATGAGCAGTCTTTCAATTAATCTTGGTTGTTCCTTGTTTTTGGTCTTAGGTTATGTGATGAAGCTACGAGTGCACTTGACAGCACAACTGAAGCAGAGATATTAAATGCTTTGAAATCTTTAGCAAATAATCGCACTTCCATATTCATTGCTCACAGGCTTACTACTGCAATGCAGTGTGATGAGGTTACCTCTTTTTTTATGTTTAAGTTTTTAACATCTATGTCTAATGCTTCTACCTGTTCTTTAAACCACCTTTGTTTCGAAGAACATTGTTCCTTCGGTACCTAGATGACAGTGATTAATAAGTTGCACCAGAACACAGTAAACTATTTGTGTCAAAAGAAAAAATTGTATGCACATGCCCACACAAGTAATGATAGTTGGACAGTTTTGTCGTGTAATTCTTGTGATTGGGCAGTGGCTGCATTTGAGTTACAGGTGGCCCCACTCATATAAGTCTTTAATAGGTCCATTTGAACTCGGGTTTAGCGACCTACGAAAGTATGTCAGCCGTGTAAGAAAAGTTTATTATGCAATAGAAACATTACTCTCTCCCATTGACTTTTATAGGGCAAGTTTTAGAAGAATTTGGTATTTTATTTTTTAAGTCATTTTGCAGAATGCCATGAGTAATTAATGTTATTCTTTAAAAATGCCCCCAAGAAGTGAGGAATATTACTTGTGGAGTAATTTATGGTGGAGTAAATCATTAATTTATAGGCAAAAAGAAAAATCGTTAATATAGAGCCTGTATTGGAAGGCATATTTTGAAAGATTGGGATGGTTTTAAGACATCAACTAATACCTTTTAAGTACATGAAAAATTCTAAATAAATTTAATCTAGAAATACACTAAGCTTATCATAATTAAGCATGCAAGGGGTAGCTCTAACAAAAAACTGTGCTCCATTTTCTTGTACAAGTACCTTTTCATGGTTATCTTTGGTATCTTCAAAAACCAAGGACTTAATAAGAACTAGTCCAAATACAAAAGATATATCATGACTATTTCTTTTAGTTAAGTTCTTAAATCCTTGCTTTCTTTTCGAGTTTTCTCTAAACGGCATGTTATGCTTATTTTAATATTCTTCCACCCAATATCAGATCATAGTGTTGGAAAATGGAAAGGTGGTTGAACAAGGACCACATGAGCTGCTCTTATCTGAGGCAGGAAGATATGCACAACTGTGGGCCCAGCAAAATAACACAGTTGATGCAGCGATGAAAGTTGCGGCATAAAACTCGGCAATCCCTTCTCTCTTCCTCCTGCTCAGAGGTGAACAATGCAAAACACATAAGAGACAAGCGAGATTTATGGTCTTCGGCGACAGCATCTGAATTAACAATCTTCAAGTTTATTTGCAGCAAACCTGTAAGGAGTTCTGCCGGGGTGTATTATATTTCATATTGCTTGTCAGACGTGTTGATGCATTGTCCCAAAACTTGGGATAGTGCTAGCAATTCTTGGCTACCTCATGTTTCATTTTCTGACCAATATTTATGTTTGAGGGCACATCGCTTAAATCTGACTCAAGTGGGCTTAGATATGAATTTCTTTTTTCCTTTATTCTTTCTTTTGATTTAGTGTTTGTAGAACTCCAAATTTATTTACAGCAAACCTGTATGTATCTGCTGTCCTCTGTTATATTTCATGTTGTTGATGCATTGTTTCAAATGCAGAATAATATTACCGATTTCCATTCTCCTATCAATACCTGTGTTTGAGTCCCTGACTGAGATCAGCCTCAAGTGGGTTCGGATTTGGATTTTGTTGGTTAGAGTTTATTTTGGGATTCTTACAAAACGGAAAACATTTTGTAGAAGCGCTACGCATAGATCCTGTCTTGTTTCAAATCAATTTGGTGGTTTGCTTGGGACAAAACTGATTTCAACATTTTTCACTCGTCGACTAGCTCCAACTGGTTTCAGATTGAGTTGGGATTGTTGGGTCAATTACCTGACTGATATGTTAAATGAGTTTCTTTTCTAATTTCTTTGGTAGTTAGAAGGATATTCCGAAGTACATTATCATTCATGCCTTGTTTTATGTGGTCCAGCCTCAAGCATGAGTTTGTTGTTATTATGACTATTCTATTTGAATTATTGCGAGACTAATCATAACCAATATTATATAATTTTAAATAACTAAATTCTTCCAAAATTTATCTTCTAATATAAAATAAACTATCTACTGAGTCTTATGCTAGTTACCATGTGTACCTGATCATCAGTGCAGAAATGTGAATGGAAAAATGGGTATTTCAGGATCTTTTTAGCTTTTAAATAGTTATGTGCATAAGTTGTAAAACAAAGCCCTAAAAAGTTCCATTGTGGGTAAAATTTTGGGTGAGCTTCAAATGAACATGCTTTTCTGTTAGGGATAACGAATCAAGAATTTTACAAGGTTTTGGTAAAAATTAAAATGTTAGTCTCATCCGTCGATATTTTTATTTCTAGTGTTCAGATACAAATAAAGAAAACACTAATAAAACACAGTAGGAATTAGAGGTGTTTAATTTGTCTTGTTCCGGTCCTGAAGAGTTTGGGACGGGACAAACAAAATTTCAGTAGCGGACAAGTGCGGGACAGAACAGGATGTGGGACGGGGTCGTCCTGTGCCATCCCGAGATATTTTTAAAAAAAATTATTTATTAATAATTATTATTAGATTATTTAATCTACTTATTATTAAAAATAATTATTTTTATAGTGATTTTTAGCTCTTAAATTGTAATATTATCTCAACAAAATCTCCTTCCTCAACAAAATAATTCATAAAGCCATTATATAGTGTTTCTTTTATGGTATTTTTTTTACCGTATTGTTTTTACATCTTTTTTATGCTATATAATTGAGCTTTTTACATAATATTTTTTTTATAATGTTTTTATCTTTAGAAGCCCAATAAAAAATAAGCATTAGAACATAAAAAAATTTATATAAAAAGTTATAATATTTTTTTTTAGAAAAAAAGAGGAACTGGGACGGGACGGGACACGAGACAAAAGTCCTGTCCCGGTCTTGTCCTGTGAAAACCCCTAGTAGGAATAACTTTGACTTTTTTCCTCAACACAATACAACATGAATTATGGAGTTCGAAGAATAACTTACAATGCTTATCAACAATGATGCATGTAAGAGGTTTTGTACTTATTAACCAAAAAAATAATAAAAAGATTTTAAATTTGAAAATACTGAAAATAGGGATAATGACAAAAATAGAAGCTGAAATTTTGTAAATACTAAACAAGGAATATCAATAAAAATTTACTATCATTTGCAAATTCAGACTTGTTAATACCAAATAAAGTTGTTATCAAATCTGATTTGGGATTTGTAATTTTCAGTTTCTTTTTCTGTCGTTCTCTCTTGGAAATATTAACCATAAGTCTCAAGAATATATATATATATATATATATATATAAACAAATCCCAAAAATTCAATTTATGAGTTAGGCTTACATATTAAAAAGTCAAATTTAATAATCTATGTTTACAAGTCAAACATCCATGTTTATAAGTTGTGTTTTTTTCCCAACCACATTTATAAGTTATTTACATTTCAAACTTCTAAAAATAATTCTTTCTTTAAATATTATATTGTTTAATAATGTCATAATAATCATACAGTTTTATATTGTTATTATTATTGAGTATATTTTATAAGTTCTATCCGTATCCTTATGGGTTAAGCAATAGGTGACCTATCGAACCATCCAAAAGCCCAGCACATGTATTAATTGAGTTGATCACATCCCATTCTCTTATAAATTTGGGCAACTCAACCAAAACGATCGCACCTAAGCTCAAGAGAATGGCACTTCTTCCTTCACATACACACACTAATTCCTTCAATACCGATTTCTGTTTGCAATTGGCATTCAAGGTTCTTCAGAAACAAATTGAAAAGGGTTCCAATTTCGTATCACCCCACTATCTTTTCATATCATATTAATCCTTGTTGCTGCCGGATCTAAAGGAAAAACCTTGCAGCAGCTTCTCTCATTTCTGGGATGTAAGAGTAAAGATGATCTAAATTCTGTGTCTTCAAAGTTTGTTTCTGGTTTAAGGCATGTTGAGCACTGAAAGTGGAGGTCCTGTCCTGTCTTTTGTTAATGGCGCTTGGGTTGAAAAATCTTTTGGTTTTGAAGACTAGTTTTGAAGACACAGTCAGAAATTTTTACAGAAGCCAAATTGAACTGGTTGACTTCATCAACAAGGTACTCTTCGATTATTCATCTTTGTGTTCTTTACCCGCACTTAACTCTCTCTTTTGTTCTTTGATTGCAACTTTGGAACTGCATAGAGAATGGATTGCAAGGCTTTAATTTGACTAATTCTATGAATTTTGTTCACTAGGCTGAGGAAGTTGCACAAGAAGTGAACTCATGTGTTGAAAATGCAACCAGCGGGTTGATAAGGGAGATTCTTCCATCAGATTTCTTAGATCAATATACAATACGAAGCTAGTACTTGCCAACGCTCTATATTTCAAAGGAGCATGGGCTCAAAAGTTTGATCTAACCATGACTAGAAACAGAAGTTTCAATCTTCTCAATGGCCAGAATATGGAAGTTCCATTCGTGACCTCTGCGCCAATTGAAGAATATTATTATAATTCTTTTGAGAATTGTAAAGTGCTCACCATTCCTTACCAAAGTGGTACCAGCAATTTGAAGTTTGCCATGTATTTTTTTCTTCCCCATGAGAAGGATGGCTTACCAAATCTAATTCACACTTTAAACTCAAAACCCAGATTTAGAAATCGAAAATTTGAACTACGGAAAGAGGATATTCCTGAACTTTGGATCCCAAGATTTAAAGTTTCCTTCAACTTGGATGCCAAACAGGGCATGAAAGAATTGGGAATGACTTTGCCTTTATTCCTGGGGAGCTAACAGAAGTGTCAGATTCTTGTTGCAGTCACAAGCTTTATGTTTCAAATATTCTACAAAAGGCATTTGTTGAAGTCAATGAAGAAGGGACAAAAGCTGCAGCCTGCACAGTAGCTGTTTGTCAAGCTCAGTCAGCCAGGTGGCCCATGCCAAGTTTTGTGGCTGACCGTCCCTTCATGTTCATGATAAGGGAAGAGACTTCCGCGGCTGTGTTCTTCATCGGAGCAGTGCTTAACCCACTTTTGGATTCATAAGCATGGCTCTAATATGCCAAGTTTTTCTCCTTTTTCTTTTTTGTCTATTTATTCTTTATTTTGATCTGGGGCTTGTAGCAATGCGAGCTTATTTACAGCAAACCTACATGGAGTTTTGCTGTCCTCTGTCATATTGTTTATGCATTGTTTCAAATGTAGAATAACACTAGTGATTCTTGGCGGCCACATTTTCATTTTCCTATCAATAATACTAGTTATTATGTGTACCATAGCATCAGTACAGGTAAAAGTAACTTTGATTAATGTGAATGAAAAAAAATGGAAATAACCTGGTAAACAGAATTTGTATTGAAAACATGTTAAAGGGTTATCTGAAGATCTTTTAAGCAGTTAAATAGTTCTGTGTATGATATATAAAACAAAACAAGCTCCATCATCGGTAAAATTTTAGGTGAGATATAAAAGAAGTGTGCTTTTCTTTGTATGCTTTTCTGCAAAAGGGACTCAATTTAATATAAATTGTTTAATGTTCAAAACATTCTCTTGAAAAGCCTCACACAGCTGAAGATTGATATATTCTGGTAAGCCAGCCTTTTAGCGTATATGACAGATTTACACTATGCTATCTTTACCAGTTTTGTAAAGCTTTGGACGTGTTTGTATATATGATGTTTGAATTGCATTTATCATTGGTGGCAACACGATGATGAGATCTTATTTTGGTTTGTGCTCAAGTAGGAGAGTAGTAGAAATGTGAATGGGATGAGGATGACAGTTCAAGAATATTATGAGGTTTTGGTAATTCATCCTTGGTAATATCAGTTGGTATTTTCAAAGTTCAAATAAAAAAACATATAGTAAAACAAAGTAGCAATAACTTGATTTTCCTTCATTGTGCAACATAAATATAATGTGGCTCGATTTCGTTGCATATGGAGTCTGAAGAATGAGTTAAAATGCCCATAGATAACTATGCATGTTAAAGATTTTACGCTTTTTTTAAACCAAAAAAAAAAAATTTGAAAAAAAAAATCACCTATAGGTCTCCAGTAAGAAATTAAATATAGAGACATCTAGAAAAATTTATATTTGCACTTACATATTTACAAGTTAAACTTAATTAACCATTGATGTTTACAAGTCAAACGTCTATACTTAACCTAGACATATAGGTAATTTTCCCTTTGAATTTTATGTTTTTTCACAATATTATAATTATTATACTGTTTTATGTTCAATACTACCTCTAATTCTTAATATAAGAGCTAGTTGATTAATTTAAGTAGATTAAGATATTTAGTTAAGTTAGTTATTTATAATAAATAAATGTTATCTTTTCTAAAACATTCTTGTTAATAATGTATATAAACTAAAACTACCATTTGATCAAACATTTAACATTCACAGCTACTATAAAGATTATTTTAAAAAAATTGATGAATATAAAAGAAAAAATAAATTGAGTTGTTATATTTAGAATGAAATTGAATGTTTATATTTTATAAGTTCTAACGATATCCTTAAAGGTTAAGCAATAGATGACTTATTGAAGAATCCAGAACAAGCCGGCGCAAATATTATATGGAGCTTATCACCCATTCGCTTATAAATTTGGGCAAGCCGAGCACAAGACGGACACTGAAGCTCAAGAGAATGGCATCCCCTTCACAGACACACGCTATCTCCTTCAACACTCATTTCTGTTTGCAATTGGCATACAGAGTTCTTCAGAAACAAATTGAAAAGGGTTCCAATTTCGTGTCTTCCCCACCATCTCTCCATATCATATTGAGCCTTGTTGCTGCTGGTTCTAAAGGAAAAACCTTGGAGCAACTTCTCTCGTTTCTGGGATCTAATAGTAAAGATGATCTGAATTCTATGTCTGCACAATTTGTTTCTAGTTTAAGGCATGTTGAGGGCACTGAAAGTGGAGGTCCAATTCTGTCTTTTGCTAATGGCGCTTGGGTGGAAAAGACTTTTGGATTGCAGGCTAGTTTTGAAGATATAGTCCGAAATGTATATAGAAGCCAAATTGAACTGGTCGACTTTATCAAAAAGGTACTATTTTGATTATTCATCTTTGGCTTCTTTGCTTGCACTTAACTCTCACTTTTGTTTTCCTTTTTTATTGCAATTTATTACATGTTTCTTTCATCAAAGTGGAACTGTGTAGAGAATACATTGCAAAGCTTTTAATTTGACTGATTCTATGGACTTTGTTCGTTAGGCTGAGACAGTTGCCCAGGAAGTGAACTCATGGGTTGAAAATGCAACTAGTGGACTGATAAGGGAGATTCTTCCATCAGGTTCGTTAGATCAAGAAACAAAACTAGTTCTTGCTAATGCTCTATATTTCAAAGGAGCATGGGATCAAAAGTTTGATCCAACCATGACCAAAACCAAAAGCTTCAATCTTCTAAATGGGGAGAATGTAGAAGTTCCATTCATGACCTCCAAGAGAGGTGAAAAATATTATTACAATTCCTTTGAGAATTATAAAGTACTCAGCATACCTTACCAAAGTGGCAGCAGCCCTTTGAAGTTTAGCATGTATTTCTTTCTTCCACATGAGAAAGACGGCTTACCAAATCTGATTCACACTTTAAACTCAAACCCCAGCTTTTTAAATCAAAAATTTATACTGTGGAGAGAGAATATGCCTGAATTTTGGATCCCAAGATTTAAATTTTCCTTCAACTTGGATGCCACAGAGGGCATGAAAGAATTGGGTCTAACTTTACCTTTCACTCCTGGGGAGCTAACAGAAGTGTCAGATTCTTCTTCTAGCCACAAGCTTTATGTTTCAAATATTTTGCACAAGGCATTTGTTGAAGTCAATGAAGAAGGAACCGAAGCTGCAACTAGCACAGCAGCTACTTTTGGAGCACGTTGTGCCAGGAGGCCCAAACCAAGTTTTGTGGCTGACCACCCCTTTGTGTTCATGATAAGGGAAGAGACTTCCATGGCTGTATTCTTCATCGGAGCAGTGCTTAATCCGCTCTTGGATTCTTAAGTGATACTTACAATGAGAAATATTAATAGTGGTACTTGAATGGTTTAAATCTTATTTATTCAGATCATGTGTCTTGACCTGGGTTCATCGTTTTTGGTATTTCCTGTGTATTTTCTTTTGTAATAAATGTTATATGGTCCTACACTGAATTAGCTAGGTAACAAGCTCCTATGTTTAAGATTAGAGAAAGTATTTCTATCCTATGTATGGCCAACTTGCATGGCTCCTCAAGTAATGGGATACTACCTTTGAAGTTTAATATAAGACCTCATTTGATTTTATCTTGGTGATAACTTCTTATTTTATTACGATTGCTCATATCTTATTTGAGAATTGGAAAAACTACTCATATCTTATTTGAGAATTGGGAAAACTAATTTGAAAGTTCTTATGGTTTTCCTTGATTTTGACTTAGGTCCTTATACTTTTTTTTTTTATTAGATCCTTTAATTTTCTACCATTAGATCCATTAATCCTGCCATTAAATATGAACAAACTCTGTTAAAACCTTTCGTTACATCGTCTCGTTCCCCCATATTCTCTTGGCCTCGCTGTTCCCTCCCGCCTCTGCATAACAAATCTGACATGCTTTTACATAATTAAAAATATGAGATGGAATAATACATTGAATGTGAGAATGGTAAACATCACGCCAAGCCAGCAGAAGAATGTCATAGCTTTGCAGATTCTTAGTTTTTATTTGGTGAGCTAGGACGCTTGTGGGTTTCAAAACCTTTTTTTTTCCAGACCATTTATAAAATTTTTCCCCGTTGAGTACTTTGAGCCTTACGAAAAGGTTATGCCTATTAAAATGTATGATCTAAATTACAAATTAATTTCAAATACAACTACAGAATTTTGAGGGGTGTTGAAACATTTGTAATCAGAGAAGGAGATAATAATAATAAGCAGTGATTTTTCTCTTTGTATAGCCAACGAATTTGGAAGTTACAGTAAGGAGACATGATAAACAGCTTGATTTTCTCTTTTTACTTACTCATCCTTATTGAACAAGAAATCCGGGAATCATAGGTAATAAATTAAAATTTATTTTTTTGGTCAATTGAGGATCTTAATTTTGAAATCAAAGAAGAGAATAAAAAGCTTCTGATAATATGTAATTTGCGGAATGAGATGGGAGTTTGCTTTCTAGGAGCTGTGAGGATCGCAAACCGGACAAAAGAAAAAAGAGGAGTGGATACAAAATCAAGAAGGTGATATGGTGGGAAGGACAGAAGGTAACAGAGACTTTTAGCGGTATTTCATTTTACTTAACTGTAGGAACTAACGGATCCAACAATAAAAGATTAAAAGACTCAATAAAAAGAAAAATAAATATGAGGACCTAGTTTAAAATTAAAGATAATTATAAGGACTTCCAAATTAGTTTTCCCTTTGAGAATTTTATCATATTTATTGAGTTTAAATGCATTAATTATGATTAATTTGAATTGAGAGTGGTTGCAGGAAAATAGAGCTAAAAAAAAGCAAAAATATCTTGAATTTTATTGCAAGAAAATTAAATGAAAAGCTGAAAGGGAAAAAAACAATGCTTAGGATATAATCAGATTCGCTATCGCCATTCAACGGGACCAACTGAAAAACGAGGCAGAGCGCGTCCTCCATTCTTCACCATCACGATGTTCCAACCTCCACCACACACGCGACCATCTATCAACACTCGATCACCACAACCATCATCATTGTCTTCGATCATCTTCATCATCTTCGCAGTGGCGGCAGAGCTGAAAGAGGGAGACGCATGAGAAAAGAGCAGACAGTGGCAGAGCTAGTCAGCGACCTTCAGTCTTCACCGCCGGTGATCTCCATTCTTCCATCAACCTGAATTGCTACCTCCCTAAACCCACCACCGCTGGCAAGTTCTGTCTCTTTCTCCGCCTCCGTCATCGTTCATGGTAGAAATTCAAATCATGTGTGGCTAATTTCGATGGTTGGAGATGGAGGATTGGGTTTTTGCTTCTGGGTAAGTTTGAGGAGTTTTTTTTTATTTCAATTCCTCTAAATAATTATATAATAGATTTCTTAAGTTATGATTAATACTATTTGATTAAATTTTATCAGATTACTAGTTATATTTCTTAATTTCAAACTTTTGTGATTGGGATTGAATTATGCAATTTGAAGTTTATACAGATATATTCTGTTTGAAGTTTTATGTGGATATATTGCTCTTTTCTACTTTGACTGAATTTTATGACTGCATCGTACTTGTTAAACATCTCAAATTGAGTGTTCTTTATATAAACAATCAAATGATATTAATCTAAGTCTAATTGCATGCTAATTGCTTTTTAATGGTATTTTTAATTGGTAATTGTAGGTAAAGTTTTAGGACATTCATTGATTAAGATTACTTGACTTAATCAGTAATTAAAGTTTTATTTTTAAATTAATAAACAAATAACTTCCAATCATTCTGGGCAATGATAACTTAATTTTCATTTTCCAATAAGCATTCTCTCATACTACCTCCGGTCCTAATTATAAGACCCAGTTGACTTATTTGAGGAGATTAAGGAAGTAAGTTAAATTAGTTATTTGTAATAAATAAGCGTTGTCATTCCTAAAATATCTTTACTAATTAAGTATATTGGCTAGAACTATCATTATTAGAAGGATTATCTTGGAAAAAAATGCATAAATATGAGAGACAAAATGGATTGGGGTCTTATAATTAGGACCAAACAAAAAGTCAAACGGGGTCTTATAATAAGGACCGGAGGTAGTATTTTTCTAAAATCCAATTTTTTTATCATTTGTGATCTTTTTAATCAATTTTCTTTTAATTTTATTTTCAAATTACTTTTCATATTTTTTATATAAAAGAAAATTAAAAAAAGTATTTAGAATTGTTTTTAATTCATCAGCAAAAATATATTTGAACTTTTTCTATTTGAAAAAAAAACCCAGCCAAAAAAATCCTTTTTAATAGCAATTTGGTTTTTAGTCAATCTAGGATCTAGTTAATTTTTGGCTCTAATAAAAAAAAATGATTTTGTTTTATATCACTTGCTACGTTCTAGATCAAATTTAATTTAGCCCCAAAGGCGACATGAGGATAAATTGGTCCTAAACATGAGATCCTAATTTACTTTGTCTCTCATATTTATCTATTCTTTTTCAAGGTAGTCCTCCTAATAATTGTAGTTTTAGTTAATATACTTGATTATTAAGGATATTTTAAAAAAGATAATACTTATTTATTACAAATAACTAACCTAATTTATTTTTTTAATCCACTCAAATTAGTTAACTAGCTCTTATATTTAAAACGGGGGTAGTATATCATAAGTCATAATCTTTCCGTCCTTGATTATGGTGTTTATTAACAACGTTTTATGACTTGGGATTGTTTTTTAACCTCAAGCTTAAAGCTGTTATTATTATAAATAAATTGTTCGAATCATCACAAGACTATAATCATGTAGCCAATATTACATGATTCAAAATTCAGATGAAGCTCTTCTTTTCAAAAAACCTGTGATGCCTAAGCATTTCTTATAAGATAAAATATTGAAAAATAAAGTGCACCAGATGATTATGTATCCTAGTTATCATGAATATCCGCATAGGTAAAAGTAATAGTAATGAATGTCAAAAACTTTTCATGAAATAGTTGTCTTGGGATTTTTTTCTCCCTCTTTTAAACAATTAAATGTAAAATACATATAAAACAGAGCCCTAACCAAACCCTTCAAAGGTAGAAGCTCAGCTAAAATTTCAAGGAGTATGCTTTTCTCTGTCTGTTTCCATGCTAGAAAAGAATGCAAAAGGGAACCAATCAAACAAATAAGTTGAAAGTCACAACTTGTTCTAAGTTCTCGGCCCCCATAGGAAGAAAAACAGAGCTGTTGAAGAACTACTAAGATAAGTTGCTCTAAAAAGTCACTACTAAGCGTATTTGACATATTTACACTAGGCTCTCTTTATTAATTTTAAAAAAGAAAAAAAAAATTGGATGTCTCTGTGTTAATTTTTTTCTTGCACATGTCATTATAAAATTTGAAATTCGAATTGCATTTATCATTGGAGTATTATATTTTAGTTTTGAAAAAATTAATTTAGAGATCCTTGTAGTTTTTATCAATTTTAAATCAGGTCTTTTGAGCTTTTTTTCCCTTTTTATTAGGTCATTAAACTTTTCCCCGTTACCTTGCCGTTAAATAGTTATTAACACCGTTACAAATATCCACTATGCATCGGTATGAGATTAAAGACAATCTTCAGTGAGACTAGAGTATGTAGATTGTTCTAATCAATAGAGACAGGAATGCCCAATCTGATAACCTGGGCAAACAAGATCTAAGTTGTCCCTATAGGCTTCAGATAGTAGGGAACTCACAGAGATGCTCATGCTGGAGGTTAACATAGAATGGGTCATTGTTGTGCCCTTGTTTCTTTTTGTTTTTACCTTCCATGTGTAAAAAAAAATTGATTTAGTAATACATGTTTAAAACATCTGCCTCACCATTTAGTTTAACCTTGTCTTGAACTTCTTAAGGCTTGGGGCATTTCTTGTCCAAGTGACACACAGTGAGTCACCCACAAGAGTTTGCTGAGAACACCTCCATCCTCTTTCGGGACTGCACCTCAACCCTTCCACTCATGGTGGGACAGAAAAAAGACCCAACTCCGATGTATGTGAAATAAAAAAGTGACATACCATTAAATAGTTATCATCTATGCATGATATGTGAATTAGGAGAGCGTCCCCTGTTTTAGTAATGGAAAAACAGAGTAAATTGAACTACTCACCATCAACACAAGGCTACCATTAAAGATCTAAATATTATTGCAATCTCCCACACCTTCAAGAATCAATTAATATTTCCCTGAATCTTCACTGTATAGATAATATTATATGACTGTGGAATCTGTAATTTTCATTGAATCACTGATCTGCATATAGTGAGAAAGTACTCAGCAGTGGACCTGAGCTTGCTTTTGATTTTTCAATAGAAATTATATATATTTATATATTTGTATATATATATAAAGCTCACGTAAGCTTCTTAATCTTTTTTTTTTTTTGTGTTTTCCCTATAAAATCAGTAAACACTCTTTTCTTGTGTGCATACTCTTATTAAGTTCGGCTATGAGTGGAAGGGACGAGTTCCAGTTGCATGAACTGAAGAGGGTGGAGGTGTTGTTAGCAATCTCTTGGGGTGATTGGTCATGTGTTGCCTGGGCAAGGTATGGTTCAAGCGTTAAGAAACTCCAAGA